CTTCACCCAAATCAAAATAAAATTAAAAAAAAAAAAAGATGGATTATCAGATACAAATAATCCAGAGCCAGGTAAGAAAACTCCTATCCCTTAAACCTGCAGAAAGCAAAACTGTGTCATTGTGTCCCTGACACACTGGGTGATTTACTGTATGTTACTCATGTGAGGGGAACCTCCCCAAACAGATGAGTTTATTATGTCAGATAAAAAGCAAAATTAGTGCTTCTTAAAATATTAGGCCTGAGACCATTCATAAGATTATCAATTGTTTCCAAAATAATTTATAGATGTGTATTGCATTGAGAGTCTCTCTGGTCTCTCTCTCCTCTACTGGCAGTTTAGAATTGATTCTGAGAAACTAATTTTGCTGAGAACCAAATGTGAAGCAGGTTCAGTGTTTAATTTGTTGAAATGCTCTCTAAGAAGTGTTATTTCCGTCACTCTTGTACATTAAATCCAAGAACCTCTCTGACTGTCTTACTGACACTTTGCCTTTCTTCAACAAATCTGTCTTATCAATGTCCATCATGGACACTTTGTAGAACAGCAGATCCTGGCAAAGTCTCACAGATGCTTCTGAATTATGCCTTATCTTCAAATAATAATATAAATCAAATAATACACAATATATACAAGGGAAGAAAGAAAAAAAGTGTCATTGCTCTTCCTCCCTCCACAATACACTCCTGTAAATACCATCACATAACTACTGATAACAGTTCATTACTTTTTCTGCTTTTATTGAGTGACTCTCTTCCCAGGGTCTAATCTGCAATATAATGCAGTGAAGTACATGACCTCTACAGTCACATCCCAGTTCAGCCACATGCTGTCATGAATAAATTAACTTCTCTGCACTCAAGTTTTCTAATCTACAAAAAGGGAATGATATTAGTTGCTAATTCATGGAGAAAGGAGCTCTGATGGTGTGGTGGTTAAAGCATTTGCTGCTAACCAAAAGGTCAGTGGTTCAAACCCACCAGCTGCTACAAGGAAGAAAGATGAGACAGTCTGCTTCTATAAAGATTTACAGCCTTGGAAACCCAATGGAAGTCACTATGAGTTGGAATCAACTCGATGGCAGTGACTGAGTTCATAGAGTTTGGGGGTATAATTAAGCATGGTGATTCATGTACAATGCCTGATTCTTCATAAATGTTCAATGAATGTCAACTACGATGATTGATATTTCTTGTATCTCTGCAAAGAAAGCCACCCTCCATCCCCTTTAGGGATCATGGTGGCTATATCCTCTGTCAGTTATTTTGCACATTTAATTTTTATATGCCAGTTTCTTTCTTCTAACTCCAATTTGACTCCTCTCTTTCCTATCTTTTGGACAGACTCACTGCTTGTTTTGCTATTCAAGGTAACTAGCAAATTTCCCAATGGGAGAAAGAAAAAAAAACTTACTCCTAATCTTTGGAATTACAGTCATAATTTCTGTTATAAAATTTACTATTCCAATGTTCAGTATTGTAATTTATTCATGCTGATCTATTATTCATTTTTCTCATTCATTCTGCAAATGTTTGCTGAGCATTTGCCAAGTGAAGATACAGAACTGAGCTTCCTAAATGCCTGATACATAAAGCATCAAATATTTTACAACCGAGTAGGGTAGAAAGAATCTGACAGTACATAAGAGCAATTAGATATTATAGGCCCAATGATTTGCCTCTGTGCTTTGAAAAGTTGGGTCACTAAGTGGGGATAATATGAGAGAAGGTCTTTTTTTAGTTGAGTCTTGAGAGGAACTTAATTGCTTACAAGTTAAATAAGGTGGATAGTGTTTCAAGCAGAGGGAGTGTTTTGTAAAACCTGGAGACCATGGAAGAGCTGTAAGGAGTTTAGTATGGTGGAATCAATGTACTATAAGGGTGGAGATGGAAAGTTCAGAGGGAAACATTACATTAAATGAAGCTGTACAAAACACATAATGAGGTCTTTGGTGTTGGTGGAGTTGCTATGGAAACACCTTGGCATAGCATGATTCTCTGGCAGCTCCAAAGACAGTATGGACCTGGTTCAACTCAGTGAGACATGGTGGTTACCCCTCTGAGCAATTCCTGTCCTATGACAAAGACCAACTGATCATACAAATCCACTTCTCTACTCTCTTGATCTTTGTTTTTTATTTCATAACTCATCAGTAGCTTACTTCCAAAACACATTTCAAAATAAAACTTGTACCTTGAGTTGCTATACATTTAGTCTGCCTCTTTTGAAACAACATCATGGGAGAGAGTGTCAAATAAGAAGATATTGATGTCATTATTATTAATTGAGAGAAGCTAAAAAAAAAAAAAAAAAAAACGAAGTCACTGCCATCAAGTTGATTCTGACTCATACCAACTCCCATTGGGTTTCCAAGGCTGTAAATCTTTACAGAAGCAGACTACCTTCTCTTTCTTCCACAGAGCAGCTGGTAGGTTTGAACCATCAACCTTCTGCTTAGCAGCCAAATGCCTTAACTGCTACACCACCAAAGCTCCTGAGAGAATCTCAAGAGCACCATAATAATGCTGAATGAGTTTTATCCTTTGAAAAAGATTCGATCCTCCCAGGACAAGGTATGAAGAAGTGATAGTTCTTTAAATTTGTTTGTTGGCTGGTAATTTACATTCAATCTACTTTCAAAATAAAAAAGCAGTCCAGATGTGGTAAAGAAAGATACTATTAGGTCATAGATATAAATACACTGTCTTCTAGAATTCTAGATTTCACCTAAGAAAACAAAAATTTTCCTCTTCAGAGAAGCTTCCAGACTCCCACACTTGCTTGGTTGCTTGAAAGGGGAGTTAATTCAGCAGCTGGCCCCAGGCACTATTCCCCTTCACTGAGAAGGGTTTTTGTGCACCCAGACAATGAAAAGATATCACTGTGTTGGACGTTCGGCAAAGGAACCAACCTGGAAATCAAAAGTGAGTAAAATCCAAGCTTTCCTTCCTTGATTTTCTGTGTCTTATGGTTCCTGTGTCTGTGTCACGATCTATAAACTGACTCTTTGAAACCAGACTCTAACATCCTCCAGAGTAAAGATAAAGTCTGTAGGAAAACTCAAAAATTGATTATACATTTTCTATGAAGAATGAGATTCAGTTATTGGGTGAGAATGACTTTTCTAAGTGGTAGCTTCAGAAATGTACCAGGGAACATAATAATCTTTTCTAGACAGAGCCTTGTTCAGTTGTCAGAAAGGGATGCTCAGTTTTTGTATGGGAGGGAGATTAAGAAGAACCCTTGTGTGTATACTTTCGGTGCCGGCACCAAGATGGAGATCAAACGTAAGTATTCTTTTCAACTGACTCCTCACTGTTTCTGTCTAATTCACTTGCTTTTTTATTCCTTTTCGTGAGTTTTCAATAGTTGGATTTCAAGGAAATAACAAATTTCATTCCTAGATTAGGTAGGAAGGAAGGAAAATTCTTCCACAGCAGGCTAGCTGATGGCTAATTTACTTTGTAAATTTCCAAATCCATATAATTTAACAGGGGAAGGGAAATTTCTGCCTTCAGGAAAGGTTTCTGTAGAAGGAAGAAGCTAAGGGAACTCACTGTGGTTTACTTTCAGCGAAGGGACAATATTGGAAATCAAACGTAAGTACATTTTTGCTCAATTATTTGTGAAGTTTTTTATATTATTTGTGTGAGTTCATGACATTTCAGCTAAATGAACCATTTCTGGTGACCCACACGTAAAGAGCAGAAAATCTAAAAACTTCAAAGCTGAGCAAATAAATTGTTTAATTTGTAAGAAGAACAGGATTTATGGGGAGAATGAGGGAAAAAAAGAGCTAGATTTTTCTCTGAATTAGCCAATCTAGCATAATTAGCTCCAAAAAAGAGGGTTTTGTTGAGGAAGGAAAATTAGAGTCACCACTGTGGATCACTGTTGGCCCAGGGACCCAGCTGGATATCAAACATAAGTGCATTTTTCTAAATATTTTTCTTCTGGATTTGTGAAATTGTGGACTTTTCGTGTTTGGGATATGAACTGAGGTCAATTCTGAAGTGAATGGGATTCCTTCTAATATCAAATGAAGAAAGGACTAAAAATCAGCTCATCTCTAGAAAGAGCAAAGAGCTAGTCTACAATGCCAGGTTGCCTCTGCATCTGTCAATCTAGTAACATTAGGAGAAAAAGAAGAAAAGAGAGAGAGAGAGAGCTTTTCATTAAGGGGAAAATGAGGTAGCTAATACTGTGGATCACCTTTGGCAAAGGGACCCATCTGGAAATTAAATGTGAGTAATTTTTGTCTATTGCCTTCTGGAATTTGGGTCTATTAGTCAGTATTGACTTTTAAAAGCTTATGTGCAAATTTTGGGGAAATGTATAATTGAAAGCATTTTAGATTTATCGTTAGTTTCAAAGTTAAGCTCACTTCCAAAAGTGGATTTGCAGACAAAAAGATTAAATTAGTTTAAATCAAATGACTCAAAGAAAAATACTACTGTTGATGAATAAGGAACAATCAGAGTTCTGAAGAGCATAAGTAAATTCATTTCCAGTGAGTTTTGCCAAAGATTTTATCAGTATGTCTGGCAAAAAAAAAAAAAAAAAAGAGAGAAAAATATTTCTTAGTCTCTGTTTTTGCTCTTGTGCATTACAAATTATTCTATAACTATAAAAATCAATAATTTGCACTGAAAATAAGTTAAAAAACACTTATAGAAGGATCCCGTTTGCCCTTTAGAAAAGTGGCTTAATTGAAAATTAGCATCAATGTCATTTTTACAGCGTACTATGAGTGATAAACTGTCCAAATCAGCATAGCATGTTCATAAGGTAAAGAGGATCTATGGAAATAAGATCTTGACAAATTATCTCCCTTTTTTTCTTTAATCCAAATTAGACATTAAACTAAGCTTAAAATGATCTCTTATCTTAGTAGTAGGAAGACTATTGTCCTCAAAAGACTGGTTTCAAATAAATGTTTAAAATGAAGGAAAGCAAAAATAATTAGGTTTTTTTTTTTAATGTCCTTGAACTTGTAGAAAAGTAGGAAAGATTCTAAAGAATTGTCTCTTTTCTTCTTTCTCATTATTATTGCTGTAATTGGCCATGTTTTTATACCGCCAAGGAAGCCATGGATCAGCTGTGTGGTCTTCGACTTCTTGGCGGTCTTTCTTTTTGGCTGACTCATGTGGCCATGCCATAGCACTCGCGTAGCAGTGCCACGTGGCAGAGCCACCGGGCCGCTAAAGACCACAGCAACTGATCCCTAATATGTTTAACTTTGCCGTGGCCTGTTTTCCTGATACACAGTGATACAGATAATGCCACTAACAAGAAGAGAATAGAATTGTGGTGGGCACTGAGCTAACATGGGAAAGATAGATAAAAGACTAATTTATTAGAAATTTCAAAACAAAAATTCACTTAATCATATCCCTGTAATAAAAATTTTCATTAATGATGCTGTTCTTAGCTGTCACTGAGTTGACCCCAACTACAAAAAAACTTAAAGCTATTTTTTTCAGTGATATATCGTTACTTCAATATCCTCATCCAACTTATTTCAATAGTAAAAGCGCAATCTGAAATATATATATATATATATATATATATATATATATATATATATATATATATATATATATATATAAAACTCTTGCAGGATAAAGCCCACATCAGCAAAAAAATCAAATTTAAGGCCAGTGTCTGAACACTCAGGACTTGATCAGTTAACTACTTTTTTTACTGATATCACATTAAATAGTAAGAAAATATAATAATTAGGGAGGAGAGATAAGTTTGTGAAATGTTTTCAATTTGCAAAAATTTAGCTGCTTAGGAAGGATTATGATATTTCAGTTGCACAAAATACCTAATCATGTATAAATGTGATTAAAAAACCAAACCAAACTCAACTGCCGTCAAGTTCGTTCCGACTCATAGCAACCGCTCCTTGGGTTTCCAAGGCGGTATCTCTACAGAAGTAGATTGCCCAATCTTCCTTCCGAGGAGTGGCCAGTGGCTTTGAACCCACCAGCCTTCTGATTAGCAGTCAAATACCTTAGGCACTATGCCACCAGAACTACTAAAAACTTACTATAAACATGCTCTAAAACTTTAATTCTGTGATAGAAAAATATTGACCTGGGTATTTTAATACCATAACCCCTAAAATTGTTTAATAATTTTGGTTTTTTCACCCCAGTTGATTTCAAAAGTGATGCTTTAAAAAGATTATTCTGGTCTGGAACAGCTTGACATGACTATTTTAAGGCTCTTGAAATTCTATTAAAAGCTAATAAGATGTCTTGAAGTAATTTCCATATTAAATTGCTAATTATTTAATATTTTAATGCAGTATGGATAATTTAAAGCTATTAAGGAATGACACAGATGGTAATATCTTTATAGAATGGTTTTCCCCTCCTTAATTTCTAGAGAGCACATTATTTTGCTTCCAAGCCTATTTTATATGATTCTCTGAAAATAATTGCTTATGACAGTTAAAAGGGAAGAAAATATCAAGCATAAGAAGTTTAGTATCTTATGTTGAAGTGCTTGGTTAACGATGAGGTTAACTTTATAACAACTGGTTTTCTCAGCTGTTAATTTATCCCAGCAAAGGAGTCTTGATTTGTTATTTCAGCTTTAAAGGACAGCAAACTGGATAAGGCTGTCCAGGGACTTGCTGCCCCACCACTGACTTGAGTTCCCACAGAGGGGGATTTCCAGGGGCCATCTGGCAGCTGCTCATGGTCAGACTGAAGCTAGTTCCTCTGAGGCAGGTGGCCAAGATTACAGTTGACCCAAAATCATCTCATCACTCCTGGTCTGGCTGGAAAATTGCCCCCATGTGGTTAAGAGATAATTCAAACTAGTATGGGTTTCACTCTGAGGCCTTTGTGAGGGGTGGGAGAGTTGCTGGCATAATCACAGAGGTTGAGGGACTTACCCCATCCCAGGCACAGGCATGGAAATGGGGGTCCACTCTGCCCCTCTGAGCCAAAGCAAACACAGGGGATGATGGAAAGTCGGGTTGATATTACTGGGCAGTCCTGGGAGAGGAGCTGGGGAATGAAAGGGGTCAGAGGCTTCCCACAGCTATTGCCTCATCTTCCCTCATGTGGAGGGGCCACGACCTATTCTGACTTCAAAACTGTGAAGGGTCAGATGAAGTAGCTGTGTTCATTTACCTGAGGTACTCTGTTTACTGCAGGAGGCAGCCAACACTGTTTAAAGAAAGAAAGATGAGGTCAGGAAAGGATGCAGGGAAGCGTCAGACTGTCTTCAAAGAATTCAAACAAACACATTTAGAACTTTTTTAAGGGGTAGGGAAAAGCTGAGGAAAAATTCAAAATCACAGAGATTAGAAATCTGCTTCCTGATCTCACTGCAGCAATTATGCAGAATAAGCATGCTGCTTTCTATAGGTCTGTCCCTAGTGTGCTCTGTGATTGTCCACAAACAATGCACTCAAATGAAGGATGTCCCCATTGCTTAAACACCATTTCTGTGCTTCCTTCCTCAGGGTCCGATGTTAAACCATCAGTTTTTATGTTCCCACCATCTTCGGATCAGTTACAGACCGAAAGCGCCACTTTAGTGTGCATGATAAATGACTTCTACCCCAGAGACATTCAAGTGACGTGGAAGGTGGATGGTGTCACCCAGACAGATGGCATCCAGAACAGCTTCACAGAGCAGGACAGTGGGGACAGCACCTACAGTCTCAGTAGCATGATGACACTCCCCACTACCAACTACAACAGCCATAATCTCTACACCTGCGAGGTCAGCCATAAGACCCTGCCCTCTGCCCATGTGGAGAGCTTCAAAAGGAATGAGTGTTAGAGACCGAGGCCTGCTGAGGCACCCAGGCCTGAGCCTCAGCCCCAGCCTCACCCCCTTCCCTCCTTAGGCTTCTGATCCCTTCCTCACAATAGCCTATCCCTGTTTCAGTTCTCTAGCTGCTCTCCCATCCCATCCACTGTTCTCCTCCTCCGCTTTGGCTTTAATCATACTAATATTTGTGGAAAAAGAATAAAAATGAAAGTGCCTTGCACCTATGGTTTCACTCTCTTTTCCTGATTTACTGGTTGCTGTACATTGTTTTTCAAATTACTCAGTTTCTTTTAAGGAGCTAACTATTTAGTTGTCCTAAAATATACCACTATTTATAAAAATCATCCTTCATTTGACCCTATTGTCCTCTCTAAGACACTCCTCCACAATACCCAGAAATCCCTTGCCTTGACAGCCTCACTTCTGGTACTCAGGAAAGGCTTGCTTCCTTGCTCTCCACTCTCCAGTGAGCCTCATAATCTTTCCAAGGGTGACAGTTCCTATGGTCACATATCCTTTGATTCCCTTAACCTATCCTGACAATTTACTCAAAGCAATTTCTTCAAAACAAGAAACCAGCTATAAAGAGAGTCATTCATTGCAACATTATATAAAATGAACAACCTAAATTAACAAGCAGTAGAGACATGATTAAGGAGCTCTTGTGGCACAGTGGGTACGGTATTTGGATGCTAGTCAGAAGGTTGTGGTTCAAACCCACCAGCTGCTCCACAAAAGGAAGATAAGGCAATCTACTTCCATAAAGATTTACACCCTTGAAAAGCCATTTGAGGTTGCTATGAGTCAGAATTAACTCGAGGGCAGTGGATTAGAGAAATTATTAAGTCTAATATTGCACTTCAACTTACTGAATATTATGCCCTCATTACATTTTTAAACATGTATTCAGGATGTCCTATCTGCCAAGGACCACACAGAATACTTTATAAAGCCTAATTTAATCCTTGTGACACTGTGAAGTTAAAATGTCCGTTAAAATGTTAGATAGGTTCTAGAAAGCTGAGAGACATTCACATTCTAGAACCCAGCAATTCCACTCTTAGATGACTAAGTACACCTGTCCACCAAAGAGCAGGTGAGAAGGTTCAGAGCAGCTTCGTTTATAAAAGCCAAAGACTAAATAACCCAAATGTTTGTCAGTATGTGATGGATAATTAAACTGTGGTGTATTTACTCATTGGAATACTATAAATAAGAATTGTATTGCAACTATATCCAACAACATAGATGAATCTCATAAAAATGGTGGTAAGCAAAAGAAACAAAATTCAAAAGGCATGTTATGTATGCTTCTATCCATATAAAGTTTAAAACCAGGTAAAACCAAAATAGACATAAGAAATTGGGAAGAGAATTATCCCTGGCTCGGGGTGGGGTGTAGTAGTATTTGGTAGAGGATGAGAAGGGGCTTCTGGGTTTCTGGTAATTTCCTATTCCTCAACTTGGGGTATGTTATTCTGTGAACATTTATTGGGTTGTACAATTATTATTTGTACACTTTTATGCATGGATATTGTATTTCAAAAATATTCACACAAAGAAAGGGCTTATACCCAGTGGGCAGATGAGAGAAGTTGAGAGGAATAAATAATAAGTCAAGGCTACACAATCGGCAAGTAGTGATCCCTATCTGCCCTATCTGCCTAATTCTGCTCTTTTTGAGTCCTATGCTGTTCTGCATAGGTACTGTACAGACCAGAGGGGAGACATGCCCACTTCCCAAGGTCTCCTCTATCTGCAAAACTAGCAGCATACAGATGAAATGAAATAGAACTTCCAAAAGGGAATAAAGGACAGAATTAACCTGGCCCAGATATTAGGAACCCATGTATGAAAGGTTGTATGTTGGGTAGAGTGGGGCATATAAGCTAACTTTGATTCTCCTCCTCCACTTCTTTGTGGTGCCCCTGGCCCTGGTCCAACCAACAAACATTTACTTTCTCAGCATACACCCTCACAGAGATATAGAAATAACTAACACAGTGTCTCTTCCCTCAATATTTCTATCTAGTTTTTTCACTCATTTTCTTTCACTTGTCAATATTGGAGCAATGGATGGGAAAGGACAGACACAGGGAAACTGGATAAGGAGGCTCCTTCCCTTCTTCCTCTTAAGAAAATTCATTACAGTCAAATCTTTAGCATTTTGAGGATCTGGGTTTAAAGTCTCTTCAAATCACATAAAGTCTCTTCAAATCATATAAACTCCCTCATCAATCCCTGGAGACCAAAATCAACAATCAAAGGCATCTCCTATCTTCCTAAAGACATTCCATGTATGAACCTATAGCAAAAGGCTTCCCTCAGAAAGCAAAACTCTGAAGCCAAAGTCCAGCATGACACAAGCAAGTGAAGAGGGGTGTTGTGGGTGAACTGTGTCTCCCACAAAAAAAAAATATATGTTTAAATCCTAACCCCCAGTACCTTTGAATAGGAGCTCTGGTGGTGTAGTGCCTAAGGCATTTGATTGCTAACCAGACGGCTGGTGGTTCAAAGCCACCAGCCACTCCTCAGAAGGAAGGTTGGGCAATCTACTTCTGTAGCGACACTGTCTCGGAAAACCAAGGAGGGGCCACTATGAGTCAGGATCGACGCGATGGCAGTGAGTTAGAGTTTTAGTACCTTTGAATGCAACTTTATTTTGAAATAGGGTCTTTATAGATGTAATCAAGTTGCAATGATGCTATACTGGATTATGAAGATGGCACAAGACCAGGCAGTGTTTGGTTCTGCTGTACATAAGTCAGAACCAACTTGTTGGCATCTAAAATAACAATATTGGATTAGAGTGGGTCCAAATCCAATGACTTGTGTCTTTATAAGGAGAGGATGATTGGAAACAAACACACACAAAGAGAGAGGGAAGAAGGCCATGTGTAGATGGGAGCAGAGATTGCAATGATCCATCTATAAGCCCAGGAGTGCCAAGGACTGCCCTCAACCACAGAAGCTAGTAGAGAAGAATGGAACAGATTCTCCTTCAGAGCCTCCAGAAGGAACCAACCCTCCTAACTCCTTGATTTCTGACTTCTGGCCTCCAGACCTGTTATTTGAAGCCACTCAGTTTGTAGTACTTTATTACAGCAGCCCTAGGAAACAAATGCAATGGGGATGGCAGAGAAGAGAGCACAGTTTCCGACAGGGCCAGATGAAGGCACGTGAGAGTCCCCTGCTCTGTTTACTCATACATTTGAACGGGATATGTGAGATATACAGATAGTGATATGGATATCTGTGTATGTATGTCTTAGCTATCCATGATGCAACTTATTTTTAAATGTCATTATAATATTAGCAATTAAGCTCAAAAGTGGTATATGCCATTTTAGTGGAATGAGACAAACTAGATTATACAATTTTAGTTGAATAAGATTTTTACTATATACCACATTTTTCAGAAAAAGAATATTCTACAGCAAAGTAAATTTCTGATATTTTTTGGATATTTTTTATATTAGTATTACAGTAAAATATTACCCATTTGTGGTTAAATTAAGGTTATGTGTTAACTTGGCTAGCCTCAGTTGAGTGGCTGGGCAGCAGGATGTAGTTATTCCCCACTGTGAAATTGGTAATCAGTTCCATGGTGGAATCTACCGGAGCAGCTGAATAGCTACTTTTGGAATGTGGTCTGCTTACAATATAAAAGAAGCAAGTTTGAGAAAGGTCTCTTGCTTTTGGCATGCTTGAACCCTGCATGTAGCCAAGTCGTTATTCAGCAGTCTGCCATGTTGTCTGCTGATCTTGGGACTCTTAATGGATTTGAATCAACGGCTTGCCATGTGGTTTGGTAATATCAGGACTATGTCCTTTTACTTGTCGACCTTGGTTTGTCAGCCTAAGCAACCAGCAGCTGCCTGGGTGAATAAAGCCTCCAGCTTCAGTGGGCCGGGAGCAAGAGGCAGAGCTGAAACCTCAGGTTGAGGAGCTTTCACCCAATCTCTAGAGCCTAGCACTTTGAACTCAGACTTCTAGCCTCCAAAACTGTAAGAGAATAAATCCCTGTTTGTAAAAGACACCCATTTGTGGTATTTTCTGTTAAAGCAGCATGAACTAACCTATACACCATGTTAGTATTATATTAACTGTATTCTAGATGTGTCCTTGTGCATATCAAACATATGTTAAAGTTATATATATTATTGTTTATAAAACTTTGGAAATAACTCTGTAAATAAATGTTATTTAATTAAAAAACAACCCAATTGAATTCATTGATATGGTTGATTTATTTGTGTTCCCTTACTTTTGGCCACCATCTGGGCCTGAGTCTATTTTGACTCATAGAAACCCTAGAGGACAGAATAGAACTGCCCCTAGGGTTTCCAAGGTTGTAAATCTTTACATAAGCAGACTGCCTCATCTTTCTCCTGAGGAGCAGCTGGTGGGTTCAAACCACTG